TATGTCTTATGCAAAGTGTTAATTTCTGTGTGTTGGGATCAGAGCAGCAGGATATAGCCGAAAAAGCTTATTAAGACAATCTGTCATTGATCTGACCAAGACTCTATATGACAGATAATGTCATCAAATTACTGAATTATTACTCTCTTTCATACTTGGTTAAACTAAGAAAACATGTCTGTTGTATTCTGTAGGCTACTTTAGCCCAAGGTCACATCTGATATGACATTTTATGGAACAAGGTAAAGAATATGCACAGAGAACATATATTGATTAGAACATAATTTGCATTTATTCACTCATAAAAGAATAATTTGGCTCTCATTTAGAGAGATCAGACATATAGGCAAAAAACCCTTAGATGATTATGATAAAGCATCAGACTTGAACTGTCTATTGAGTCTATTGATCCAGACCACTTAAGCATCAGTATGATGCGCAACTATTATAACATCACGTGAATGTCCATTAAGACAAGATACAGCTGTTGTTCTTCTTCATTGGAGGCTTTTTCCGCGTCTTTGTAAGTTCTCTGCTCATTGTCTGCGTCCGTCTGCGCAGTGCCGGGCTCACGCGGCTCGGTAACTTCATCTGTTGAAGCAAGTCCCGAAACACACCGGCGACGTTCTCGCCGGTGCGTGCGGACGTCTCCACAAACCCCGAGCCCCAGTCCTCCTCCACCGCGCGCATCACCTCAGCAGTGGCCTGGCGACTCCGGCTGCCCAGGTCCGCTTTGTTCTCTATCACCGTGATTCCAGTGAACGTCTCTCCCTTCAACTCCATGATCTCCTCACGGAGTCGCTGCACCTCCTCCATGGAGTCTGGCTCGTCTGCGGCGTACATAAGCGCAAACGCGTCCCCGGTTCGGATGCACAAAGCGCGCATCGCTGGGAAGGAATAACTACCGCTCGTGTCCAAGATCTCAATGCGCACCCTCGCGCCGTCTGTGTCGTACTCGAGAGCGTGAAGCTCCTCCACCGTGCGCGTGTATTTGGAGTCGAAGCGATCTTGCAAGAAACGGGTGATCAGAGCAGTTTTTCCAACCCCGGCGGCGCCCAAAAACACAAAGCGCACCGTCCGATGCTCCCGCACCAACAAAGACATATTGCTTCAGTTGCTAATTTTATAAATTAGAGTTTGCATAAGAGATTCAGTAAGACTTACAAATCTAAAACTTTTAATGTCCTTATGCCATCGAGACGCGGTACTGTGTTGAGATGAGACAAGGATGCTGCCCTTATATTACCTGCATGCGTCCTACGTACTACTAGTTGTAGCCAATGGAAACGCAATGACGCGACGCGTGGGTTTCTGTGTTGCAGAGTTTGACTATTTGAAAGACATTGTAGGAATTATTCAGAGAGTTCAGCTGAGGTTAGTAGGAAAATTTCGGGACGCAAACTGTTGAGATTCATTAATCTCGCGCAAAAGCTGTTTGGTGTCTTAAATGACCAAACACTTAGGTTTTTTTGTGATATGCAAATACATAGGCTAATAAAGTGATAATAATAACAGTGTTTCATAAATGTAACAGAAAGTGCCCGAACAGGATCACATTAACCATGGTTTTACTACAAACAAAACAAAACAAAAAACTATAGTTAAACTGTAACCACAAATTAACCATGCATGGTCTTGCTACACTAACCATAGTTTAACCATGGTATTTGTTGTAAAACTGTGGTTATACAAATGCAATCAATGCACCAAAAAACATGGTTACTACACTTTTACTATAATAAAATCATGGTTAATTTTCGTAATGGTTGCTCCTTATAATAACGTGATTTCTGTTTGCATGAGTTTATTTATCGCCATGAGAAATTAATAAGCCTAGCCTAATTTTTATGGTTGCTGAAACATTATAAATAAATAATGGGCAAATTTGGTTTATTTATTAAATGCAATTTTTTAAACATATTTGTGGATCATATTGTATTTATGTGTGAATTTGCTAAATCTTTGTAAATCTCTTTATATTTATTTGTAATTGTATAATCTATTTATTTGAAAATACAAAACAGTGTGAGACCCCTCCAAAGTCCCCATAACAGCCCAAACAGCTTCCTCTCACAACAATGAATGTAATGTTTGAAAAGTTTATACTTTGTTGTTTCACATACAGTTTTGAATTTACAAATAATGTGCTATTACTCCTAACAGGATTCTGACTTGAGGAAGCCTGACTTCTTGTAGTAGGTGTGGTTTGGCAAATTATAGAAAAGTTTTTTTTACTCTGCTCTGGATAAGTAAGCCTATCTATCAGCAGGGTTAATTATTTAACTAATGTGTGAACAAACCTATATTATTTGATGTCTAATATTTAATCATCTTTATCTTTATGCATGGCTGACCTTTCAAAGACCTAAGACTCCAGCAAACTACCAGTTTATATAGCTTAATTGGTCATCATGATTCATCATTCTGTTAAAAGAAATCCTGAAATAAAATATGTAAACTGTTCAAAGGAGCATTATATACTTGTTTAAGCAAGGCTGTAATTGTCATTAAGCAAAACCAGAAACCCCATCCTGAGGTGAGGTATTTCAAATGTTTCATAAGCTTATCACGTCAGAGATGATTTTCCATATATTGCATATTAAAATCATGGTGTCAGACATGGAAATGCACACGGTCACCTCACAGCACCGATATTTTCCACACAAACACTGTGTTTATGCAAGTCTGAAGGCTAAATGCCGTCAATGTGACTTTATCTGTCTATTTCCCTATTAATCTGTTGCTGCTGTCCATCAGACTAACATGAAAGGATGATTAATTTGGCCTTCAGTTCTGCCTTTTCTGCACATTGCTGTCAAGTTTATTATATGCAGTATATATTTATATTAGTAGGCCTATATTTAGTATGATTGTATTTATTAAAGCAACTTTAAGATAAGCCTGTTTGTGCTGTTGCAGTGTAAGTCTCAGGTGCATGTGACTCACTTTTTGACAGGAAATGACCTTTTCTGTGTAAATCTCCAAGATTAACATTTTGGGGAGACATCCTCTTCACACCACATGAAGACACATCATAAGATCAGTATCGCCTCTAAGGAACCATGATGTAGGAGACCCACTGTCCTTAAATGGACCCTTGCTGTCCATGCTTGCAGAGAATGAATGTCCTGTCTAACACAAATACTGCATAAAAAAACTATTGCAAATCATGCAGATTATTAAAATAAGGAGGTTGCACCGGTGCAGATGAGACCCACTCACATTTTCTTCAGAAGTAGTAAAAATCAGCCATTCTAGTGACCTCCCGTGCAATTTTTGAAGGAATGTTTGCACCAAAAATACTCTATTGCTCAGTATCGGGTAATCAGGTAGGCGAATGTAGATGAGTTTTTCATGCTGTCCATCCCATTTGTTTCTTCCCAAAAGTCCATCCCCTGTTCTCTCACATCAAAATCCACCAACAACATATTTGTTAGGAACTGTTTTGGACCATTTTCACATTGCTTGATATGTGCAAATTTCTCTACTGATTCAGACAATAGACAACTTTTTGACTAGAGAAGGCAATATGGATAAGCAAAAGTTTGAAGTTAAAAAGATCTTAATGATGGATTTGTTTCTTACAAACAGCTTTTTTTTTTTTGCTTCACAAGACATTAAATGATGGTCTGGAGTCGTGTGGATTATTGTGATGTTTTTATCAGCTGGGTTCTCACTCACTGCAGAGGATCCATTGGTGAGCAAGTGATCTAATGCTAAATTTCTCCAAAGAAGAAACAAACTCATCTACATCTTGGATTGCCTGGGGGTGAGTAAGCGTCTTTTTTTGTTTTGTGAACTACACCTTTAATCTGATTTATTGACAATTTAAGGAAATAATAATTTAAGTTGCTTATTTAAGTAATGACAGTTGTCATGCAGAAGCTTCGATAAAATCTATTATTTGCCACTAACACTTTTAGGCTACTACACGTGATCTGTATGTACCTGACTACTTTGAAAAAAATTCTGAAGCACCATTATTCCCTTTAATGCAAACAGACTACTTACAAAGCTAATATTGAATCTACCACACTGTTAAGCTTACAGCTGCGAGACAGGGAAAACAGTAGTTGAATCTGAGCACCATTCACTAATGCTGCGTCCCATTGCCTACTTATACTACGTCCTTAAAGTATGTACTCTTTTGGTGAAGAAACGTACACACTTTTGAGTGTGTAGTAAAAGAGTAGGCAAGTTTTGGGACATACTATCACTTCACACAACTGCGTCTTTAACGGGCCGCTCTGTGGCATAGATACACTGTCACTGTAAACTGGCCTGTCAATCATCTTGTCACAGTTAACATCCTCCACATTGCATTTCATTTAACTTCCTACCATATCGAAGAGAAAAGAAGTAGCACATTGATCTGCCAGTCGCGGGTCTTTCATGCCTTGTTGCAAATGAAACATAACACAGATAACATTAAATAAATATATTTTTTACCAGGTTAAATGTTGAATATTAGTAACTCAACCCCCTTTTTCTAAGCCTCTCTCCCTAACCGCTGGTCGCGCACATCCGCCATGTTTGTAGTTTTTAACGGTTTTTTAGTCGTGTTTGTAGTTCTGGACAGAATCCTTCACCAAAGCGCAATGGATTGTGGGCAACATTAGCCATTAAAGTGTGCACAGATCCACACTTCAAAAATCGACCTGAAATAGGAGACCATCCGGGGACTTTTGGCATACTCTTTTCAACATACTATGCTTTGGGACACACTTATTCTAATCTCACATACTGTTTAGGAAGGATAGTATGAACATTGGGATGCGAAAAAACAGACATTACTAAAGAGTCCCGATGGGACGGATAATGCACACGTCTGTCTAAATCTAAATCCTGCTCTTCTGGAGGTCCTTTAAACCTATTATATAATATGTTATATGTCTATTGTTATAAAGGACGACTTTATTATCCAGTAGCAAAATCTAGTAACACTAACCTGAAAGTCACAGAATGTGATCTGTTATCGATTAGTTTTGTCTGCAGTCAGAACTCGCGGGACGGTTGAGTGTGGCAAAATATTCCGCAAGTCTCGTCAGGTTAGAAACAAAGGTCAAAACCACCTTTTGAGCGTAAACTTCTCTCCTGGGTACGTAAATAAATGATAATTTAATTGAAGCTCAATGTTTTACCAGCCGGATCTGTGTTTATCTATCAGTAACGTTACTTGTCAGTCAGATGTTTATGTGGTTGTTTACAGTTGGTTGTGATTCTCGTAATGTGTTCATATGTCAAATGTATAACGTTACTTTGACGTGCAAGCACTTGCATCTCTCAGCAAATATAGAAATAATATATTAACATGTTAGTTTACAGGATGTCAGAGGAGATTCTCCCTAACGAAGATAAAGAGACCGTAAGTTCATATGTTTATATATTTGTGGAAGTACCATTTGACAAAAGTTGATGAACTAATAACTGTCATGGTCATGCTATGTTGTTTTGGACATTGTTTGAAATAACTTGGAGCGCTATGTAAATACTATAGTACTGTACTTTATGACATACATGGTATAGTGCCATGTAACATCTGATATCCTCACTGGAATACCAATAGTACTTTTTATATAATATTATTTGTATAATTAGCATCTATTAATGTTTTTACTTAATATGACAGACATAAAAAATATTATTTCATTTGTCATTCATTGAATGTTTTAGCTGAGAAGACGATTGGAGCAGCTGAAGCAAGAGTATGAGAAGACCGCACAGAGACTGCAGGTAAAGACATGCCATATTTGTGGGTATGCAAGAATTTATTTTCAAACTGATGTTAACAATGTTAGACTGAATTGATTTCTGCAGTATAACAGCACTTGAATTGTCATATAATTGAACCTGTAATGAATATAATTAAACCTGTTGATGTATATTTGTGTTTTTGGTTTAGAGAGCAGAGCGCCATGATGCCATTCGCAGACTTACACAGAATAACTCTCCACACACATCTGAGCCATCTTCTGTGACTTCATCCATGCCAACATCAGAATATTCAGAAAACCATGAGAATATGCAATTACAAACCAGTAAGGCTAACTTCAGTGTAAAGACATGAATAGAGACAAACTGATAATATTATGATTTATCGCTGTAGACCATAGCAGACTACATATGTGTCAATATTCATAGCCTCAGTGGTTTGAGATACCAGTGATGACCACATTTACCGTTCATTTTAATGTAAATGTTGAAGAGAGTTTAAAAAAAAGTTGTTAAATGCATAATAAAGCCTATTCAGAAGGTAAAGAATCCCGAACACTAATAAACAGTGGTTTTCTTTTTTCTGTCTCAGGCCTAGTTGCAGAAAGAAACAGCTCTGGTTTTTCCGCTGTACCAAAAGTCCCTGCCATCCAATTGGATTTTGTCGAGATTATGTCCACACCGCCTTTGTACTCCCCAGTATGCAAACGAAGCCCCGCCCACCGCCTGCGTTCTAAGCGTAGTCGACTGCGTCTACGGAACAAAGAGCGAGAATCAGACACTGACATCAGCCAAGAAAGAGATGGAAGTGGAGACGGTATTTGTGAAAAGGTGGACACTGAAATAAAGGAGGGTAGTGAATGTACTGATAACAAGAACAGTCTAAAAGGAGTGAGAAAATATGGTAAGATGGAAGACAAGGACTGTGAAAAGAAAAAGGAAAGAAAAATTGAGAAGATGTCAGCTGAGAGGGAGAAGAACCAGGACAGGCCAATAGGCATAAGAAAAGTTGGTAAAATTGCTAAGCCATCACAAGAACTGGAGAATGATGGGAAAAGAGTGGGACATTGTGTATTAAACTGCTCTATGATCCAGTCAGATAACAAACTGCCATTGGTTTCAAGTGAAAAAAAAAAGAACGTTCACTGTAGCCAGAAAAAGGTTAACGTTGAGCAAAAATCACACTCAGGTTCAGCTGTGTCTATCCAAACCTCATCTTTCCCTCAGTCATCTGAGGGAGTACAGATTACTGACAAATCACAAGAGATGCTTGAACAAACTAACCAGTTGCTCAAAGACTCAAATAAAGGTTATGATGACAGGATAGACATTAAACAATCTGGTGTTCTGGACTCTTGCACGCTGGTTGAGGGTTTACCGTTTCCTGTGGAGTATTATATTCGGACGACAAGGCGCATGGCTGCATCTCACAGCTCTGTCGATCTAGATGCTGTCATTTACAGCCAGCTCACTGGGGGGCGGGGCAGACGGAGGCTCAGCCAATCGCAAACGAGTGGTAGAGGTCGCATGACCCCAGAGCATTCAGTCTGCAGGTCCACTGACCAGACCAGACGCGGAGGAAAAGGTCAGAGAGGGAGAAGAGGCCGTCCAAGAAGCACTGCTTCACGTGCCAAAGCTGATCCTGATTGTACAATATCACATCCCCCAAGTGATTCTCAAGCAGATTCAGAATCTCCTACAGAAGAAAAATCCACGTCTCACACTGAATCACCCAGCCAATCAGTACTGGTCCTTGAAAGGCTAGAGGCAGAGTCTCAGGAAGTCCATTCTCCTGGGCCCACAGTGAGCTTAAGGCCAAGTCCAGAGCAAGGACATTTCGAGCAAGGAGTTACTCAAGATTTTAAGCATCTTCCAGATTCTCAGCTTTGCTTTGATTCCCAACTCCTCCCGGATTCAAATTTGTACCCTATTTTCAGAAGAAAACATGGCCAAACTGGAAAAGCATCTCAGACAGGTACAAATAAAGATGATGCGATTTTTATATTCTTTTCTTTCTGTGTCTTGTAGTATGTATTTTTAAATTATTCTGAATCACAAATAATTATGACACTAGCAATGCCTCGGTCATTGGTTCGATTCCCAGGGAATGCACGAACATAATGATAATAAATATACATTGAATGCAATGGTCACTTTGGATTAAAGAGTCTGCCAAATGCATGAATGTAGATGAGAGCTGTTGTACTTTCTGGAACCATCATGTTACAGGTAATACATGTTTGTGAATGTGTTTTGTGTTTAGATCAGTCACCTCTTCTGCCATCATTAGCTTCACTCATTCAGGCTCTTCAAGAAAAGGATAAGAAAACTGGACTGTTGGCGGCTCTTGATTTCCAGGATTTCCACCTGCCTGATGAGGATTTTGGACAACTAAAGTTAGAAAGATTGCGCTGGTCCACTTCAGTCGTAGAGCCCTTCGTACAGCGTCCCCTCGTGTACAATACACGGCAGAGCAGCAGGCGCCAGAGAATGAGCGGGAGAAAGAGTAATTGTGAAGCGCGTTACTCAGTGGGTGAACTATTTACTCCAGAACCCCTAACTACCTCTTCTCTTGAGAATAGTTTACCTCTTTGTCAGTCAGACCCTGCTGATCAGTCACAGACAGAGATAGAAAAGGACCTCAAAGCTGTAAATGAAATAAAGACCTTCTCCTCAGATGTGATGGACAGTAGACAGATTATCAAACCTGAACCAGACGGAAGCTTATATAATGAGAGAAAAGTTGAGGCCCCACTTAAATCCTCAGAAACTGAAAACATTAACGAGATTCAGTCGCAAACAAAGATGCAAAAACAATCTCACATGCTCCCAGAGAACAACTCGCCTTGCCTTGTGACACTAAGTTTGAGCCCATCTCTGACTTCACACACACAGAAAGGTCAAGATACTGTCCTACCATCTTTGGGAATGTCCCCTCACTTTTTGACTCCAGGTTCACCATTAGACCTCCGGTCACCTCTGTTTCCTCCCTCTGGTATCCTTAGGTCTCCCTCTTCATTTACACTTATGGGATTTGTGTCTCCAGACATCAAAAATCGTATCTCTGTAAAAAGTGGAGATCAGGGAGGTTCTGAAACACAAAATCAAACTCAAATTAGTCAAGAAACAATGACAGAAGTTCAAAATACTGTGAAACCACGTATGCCATCCCAAAACAACACTCCACCGGGATATGAAAACTTAAATGGCCCAGAAACTAAATCCTCATGCATCTCAGTAAATGAACAGAAACGTGAATGCAGTCTTGATACGGAAAGCAATCTTGAATGTGGAAATAAGATCAATTGCACGCCAGAAAATGAAGTTCAACTCCTCAATGTTCCTGAACCAGTGATTTTTAAAACTCTCTTTGAGTCTGAAATCCAAACCAAGAACAGTTCTGAAATGGACATTGAAACCTTTAAAGGCTCTGAGCTCGGGTCTGAAACCCAAAGTATGGGGTTAAACCCAAATTTGAAACTGTTTCATTGTGGTAATAAATCTGGAGCTGTTGGTCAAACTCCTTTGGACACTTCCACCTATCAGAGAACAGAAAGAAGGACTGGTTTTGATAATAACAGTACTCAGTTAGAGGAGCGTAACACTGTTCCATCCAACAACCGGACATTAGTGCATGAGGAATCTCTAACTGGCACTTCATTCACTGATGAAGTTCATTGTTCTGCAGTCCTGCAGGAGATGCACACTTTTAAGGTATCTATAAACTAAAATAAATAAGTTGATATGTAATGCAGTGATATGTGCTAAATTGTCCTAAGGTCTAATTACCTGCATATGTCTGTGTGTGATGATTGTCTTTGTACTCAGGCGCTGGAGGGTGGATGTGTGTTGGATTTGTGTTTGGTGCGATGGCCATCGGAGGACTGGAGCATATGTGTGGCAGGAGAATGGAGCGTTTGCCTTTGGGCTCAGATGAAGGGAGTTCAGTCGTGGAGGCTTTTACACACCTGGACATTTGCACAGGTAAACCAATTTGCTACAGCACTTCAGCATAAATGACAGCAAGCTGGCAATTATTTGAGTTTATGTAGTAGTTTAAAAGGTTAGTTCCCCCAAAAATAACAATTCTGTCATCATTTATTCATTCTCATGTTGTTCCAAACCTTTAAGACTTTGGTTAATCTTCGAGACATGAATTGAGCTATATCTAAAAAGTTATATATTAGATATATAAAATATGTCCCTCTGATTTGACTTCTGTGTTTGTATCTGTAGTCCGTCATGTCTTTGCAAGGGATACCAGACTCTTCGGGACTGCTTTGTGTCAGTCTGGGTCACTTGGAAATCAGAGAGGCAAGGTAATAAAAATGGTATAATACAAAACAGCAAAATTACTATTGGGTAAACCAAAATGATGCTATTTTCGACTCCCTTTACCACAATTATTATTTTTTTTTCAAAATCATCCCATTCTGAACTCAAACCCTAGGGGCACTGCGCTCAGGCATCTTCAAGATGTTTTTTGTGTTGTAGAACTCAGTAAACGCCAATCTAATTCCCTGTGTGTTCTTGAGTGCAGGATGCTTTGCTGTCCAAGTATGGATGGGCCGTTCTCTCAGAACACAGTGTGCAAGGACACGTTACAAGCAGTGTTGAGTGTGTCTAATTGTCGGCTTGTGTGTTGCTCCACCCCTGGAGATCAACAAAGAGTCCGTGTGTTAACAGTGACTCAAGATGGAAGGTAATAAACCATCATGTGCATGTTAAACACCTGTGTCTATTAAACCTTTTTTATGTATTGTTCACTTGAAATATTTAAGCAAAACTATTTATTATTTACTTGCTGTATTCAGGGTAAAGAACACTCTTCCCCTGGCCTCTGCTAAGCAGAACATTTGGACCCTTGCAGCTGTCGAGGGTGAAAAAGATGCTCTGATTGGTTGGACAGAATGTAAAACTCTCCTTATATGGTGATGAATTTGGCAATATTGAGTCTTAAACATCTTTGAAAGTCTTTTTTATTAGGAAACTTTTTTAACTGTATCCATCCTGTACATTGGGATATAATTAAAGGGTAATGAAACCCCATTTCAGCACTGGTTAGTTCTCTCCACAGTTTTAAAAAAACACTAAAAAAAGTGGGCATGGTGCACTGCGAGTGGAGGGGGAAGAGGGGAGACAGACAACACACACAGCTTCGGGTTCAGACGCTTTAATTTAGCTCCAGACGAGTTAAAAACACAAATAAATGCACAGCCATTTGCACTCTGCATCGAAAACCTACATGAACGTGCTGTTGCACCTCTGATAACTTTTAAGGATTATTGTGCGGCGTTTATATAAGCCTTTTGACGGGTTGTGTCGAGGAGCTGTAAAAACGGTTACACTCACTAAGGCTGATGATACACGGGGCAACTTTTTGAGCAATGTTGCCGCCAACGGGCAACCAGATGAGACACAGAGCCCACGACCGATCTAAAGTATTCAGATAGACATTTGTTATCCATTTTCAATGTGAAAGTGCCCAAGCAACATTGCTCAAAAAAAGTTGCCCGGCAAAATTGCTCAAAAAGTTGCCCCGTGTATCATCAGCCTAAGTGAATGAATCGCATTTGTGCCGAACTCTTATTACAAAGCAAAAACAAACACTCTCCTCCGATCCATGAACGTTTCTCTCAGTTAATGTGCACGATCTCACAGTCTGAAGCGTCTGTCATAGCAAATCAACACATGCTGTTGTGAATAATTAAGCGAAGCATCTTCTCATTGGATAAGAACACGCAGTCTCATTAATAATTGAATAGACACTGACACGTCATCGATGTACTATAGTCCTTTGCCACGTCACAGATTGTGACGTCAACACGATGAAAACAGCGCAAAAAAGCATAAAATTAACCAGTTTTCTCCAACAGTTAAAATTATTGGATGCTAACATTGTCTTCTATGATGTGCAACACAAACACCTCTGCTAAAATCTCAGAAAAAGTAGTCTGGGGTTTCATGACCCTTTATTTATACATTCTGTCACTAAATTGATGCACACTGCAGAAATAGCAGTATTTCTATTACTAATAAAGGAGTAATTCTCCCAAAAATTTAAATTTGCGGAAAATGTATTCACCCCTCAGGCCATCCAAGTGTTTGTTTTTTCATTGGAACAGATGTGAAAAAAATTTGCATTACATGGACTCTTTTCGCTTGTAAACAGTGCTTGCTTGAGCTGTGCATATTTCTCTCCTGATTCAGATGAGAATAGAGAAAGATTAAGATTCACTAGAGAAAGATTAAGGATAGAGGACTCATATTTTAGCCCAAAGTAACATCGTTAAAAACATCTTAATAGATTTGTTTAATACAAACATGCAACTTTTCGCTGATGTTAATTAAGTCATGTGGATTACTTGTGATGTTTTAATCAGCTGTTTGGACTCTCGTTCTGACGGCACCCATTCACTGCAGAGGATCCATAGCAGGGTTGCCAGGTTTTCACAACAAAACCCGCTCAATTGCTACTCAAAACTAGCTCAATAGTGTTTCGAGGGGGGTCCCCCAGTAAATATCATGTTCTGGGGGGTAAAATACATGTTTTTTTTTGGTGGGGTTCCCCGGTAAAATTCGCATTTCAAGAGCTAAATATCATGCTTTTAGGGTCGCTTCAACCCGCGGACATGAAAAACAACCCGCTTGCCGTGGGTTAAAGTAGCCCAAGTCCGACTTGGCAACACTGATCCATAGTTGAACAAATGACGCAATGCCAAATTTCTCCAAATCTGTCCCAAAGAAGAAACATACTCATTTACATCTTGGATGGCCCAAATAAATTTTCAGCAGTTTCATTTTTGGCTGAACTATTCTTTAAATTTTTGATAAAATGACTGGTATTTTCTGATGCTTTGCTAAAAGGTAGGTAGAATTTGGAGTCAGTTTTGTACATGTTGTCAGTAAATTATTTTTAATACTGTGTATATCTTGTTTTGTTAGCATTTTAATTTGTATAATTGATTATCGCTTTGGTCACACTTGTGAATTTCAGGAACATGAAAACAGGCCAGCTGCTGCAGACTATATACCTGGAAAAGACTTTAACCATGACAAACTGCATGAAGGGATATTGTTACAGAGTAAGTGAGTGTATTGTTCTTGTGTGAGTGTGTGTGTTAGAAGAATGAGTATAAGAAGAATGAGTGATAACCCTGTGCTTTCTTTCCTGCAGGGTGTGCTGTGTGTGTTGCTTCAGAATGCAGGAAATGTGTGTGATGATGAGAGTAACACATCTCTTTTTACGCTGATTGCCACAAATCCTCTCACTGGCAAACATATCACACTGACCTCTATCAACTGTCCTGATCAACACAAACAGCAGTAAGATTAGAAGTGATAAATGTTCCAATATAAGAACAAATAATGTTAACAGTAAAGTCGAATTAATGAATGTTTGTCTCATTCTCTAGGTTAATAGATGGTGATGTCTTGGGCTCTGGGCTTGTTGGTGTTTTTCAGTCTGGTCATCTTGCTGTTTGGGATCTCAGAGGAAGCGTGGCTAAAGTTGTTGGTGTGCTGGATGAGTTGTGTCGACTAGCCCGCTGGGCAGGGCCAGATATGCTGCTGACTGGATATCTGAATGGAGATGTTAGTGTGTTTCATTATAAATCTACATAAACACACCATACATCTCTATTCAGCAAAATGTATGCCAAATGACTTGTATTACTTGTTAATAAAACAAAAATATGTTGATTAGTGCCATTGTTAAAAAAAAAAGAAAAATGTTACATTATTACACAAGCTGTTTGTTGATTACAGTTAATATAAGCAAAACCAGAGAAATATTTGTACTGTTTGGATGTGATATGTAAAATATATTTTACAAAATAAAACAAATGACTTAAACACTTTTAATGCCTTTAATATTGAGATTAAAGTTTTTAGCTGAGAAAATGTCAAATCGTATAATTTTTATTGTCCACACACCCCAGCTAATATGTGACACTGGAGCACAAAAGCAGTCATAAGTAGCACGGGTATTTTTTTTAAGCAATAGCCAACAATACATTGTATGGGTCAAAATTAATAAAATTTTATTTTATGCCAAAAATTATTAGGATATTAAGTAAAGATAATGTTCCATGAAGATATTTTGTAAATTTCCTACCGTAAATATATCAAGGCCTAATTTTTGATTAGTAATATGCATTGCTAAGAACTTCACTTGGACTTCATTTTTTGCACCCTCAGATTCCAGATTTTCAAATAGTTGTATCTCAGCCAAATATTGTCCTATCCTAACAAACCATACATCAATGGAAAGCTTAATCAGCTTTCAGATGTATAAATGTTAATTTAAAAAAAGAAAGAAAATGGTTATGTGTTTGTGGTCCAGGGTCCTAATCAATCCTAATCAGAATTAAACTGGACATTTTATGAAAAAAATGTTTTGGATGATTAATGACTGAAACGATTTGGGATATATATAGTTTTCAGCCAAAAGAATAGTAAAGGTAAAAAAGATGACAACTTCGCATTTATAGTTGACACGTATGTTAATCTAAATTGAACAGCTGATGTTGTACATTGACAATTTTATTTTATTATCACGAAATATAGTATATTTATTGAAAGCTAAACTTTAACATCCATAATTGAAGACAGAGTGTCGCGCATGCGCAGTGGCAGTCTCGTGCATTGTGGGAGCGGATTGAGAAACATGGCGGCGCACATCATTGCCCGGTGTGTCCGATCACTGAACCACCGTATTGTATGTTTTAACCGTATCAATACTGCCGCGACATTAGCAGCAGCTCCGCTCACCCATGGCCGAACATTTTCACAGCTGATTAATGGACACAAGTCTTCGCTGGCGCAGGTGCGTGTTAGTAATTGACTCGTGACATCCAATGACCTAGCCGTGTCTTTAGTTAGAATGACTTCAACACGATGGACAAACATCATATCAATATACAGCTACAAAATACTTTTTAACCAACTGACGTGCATGTACAGTTCAGGATAATGTTTCTAAATTAACCTAAGTGTTATCATCTTTATGTAGCATAATAGATCATAAGACTGGTCTGTCTGTTTTGTTTTTTAACGAGCTCTTTTGCTGTAATCAGTTATGATTTACACAGTTATAATGGATTATATACATTATACACATTTTTATACATTACATGACAGTATTAATATCTTTATGATCGTTTAAAGGTGTATTTGTTTTTCGCTGTATATATATTATATATAGTATCATTTCTTTCTTTCACATTGATATTCAATGACATTTAAATATATGATTTACCTCATAATACTCATGTATCATCAGTTATTATTGTTGTTCTGAACCTTCAATTCATTGTTGTTATTGTTTACTAAAATCGTTAAAATAATTTCTGTAAATAAAATATAAATGTACAAATATTAAATGAAAAACAAACAAAAAAAAAAACTAATTAAAAGTAAGGCTTTGGCAACTGATTGCCTGTACAAAATTGAATTAATAAATTAAACCCAAATAGAAAGCAAATAACAAAATCATTAAAAACTAAACTAAAATGTAAATAAAAACTTGGAATGTAAAAATAAAAGCTAATTCAAATCACTAATAAATACTATAAATAGTAACACTGCTTCAGATGTCTGTTCAATTTGAAATAATCCTTGTAAAATGTATTTTCTAAGATGTTTTGTTTTCTTTTGTAGATCTCCGGCAGTTCATTTCAGGTTTTTCAGTGGAGGCAGTACGGTGACTTGCCCCCATTAACCCTAGAGACTCTCCATGACCGTGTCCTCTACGTCCTGAAGCTCTACGACAAGATCAACCCCGAGAAGGTAAATACCAAAGACTACAGAAAGACAAAGACAGTTCACTCCTATACTGATGAATAGGAGAAACTGCAATGTGCAATATGGCGGAATAGTCCCACCTTCTAAATGAAAGAGCCCATCGCTGATTGGTAAAGTCATTGCGTCACTGCAGCGGCCGTTAGAAGCTCGGGTTCCCATAGAAACCTGAGGCTAGACCAGCCATTGCGCATGTGCAGTCTTAAGCGCGTTATGACTGCGCATGTGCATTGGCTGGTCTAGCCTGAAAAATAAGCTTTTTAAATGCCATTTGAGTATAAGAAATAACATTCATGGGGCAGTTCATTTCAGATTTTGTTGCTGATTTGAAATATGTAATTTAATTGCGACTTCAGCGAGCAGTTTTTGAAATTTCAGGATTTCCCCATTAATTTTTAGATAGGACTTGTGCTGCGTTCAAGTCCTCCTGGGACGTTCGTACTTACAAGTTGACAAGTCGTAATTACGACGTCAGGTGCGTTCAAGTCAGTTTAGTCGGCACAAGATGGCGGTGTACCTGGTCTTGTTTGAGCTGCCTGAGGCGTTGCAAATATGGTCGCCGAGTGAACAGACTTTCCTTGAAAGAGACTTATATTATATTATTATTATATTAAATGTAAATACTTCATAGTTTTGATCAGATGGACAGCATGTTTGGTTGAACTATTTCAAATTAGCTTCAAATATACCATATTCTGCAGATTAACTGTGTTTGAAGATAATTTAAAAGTGTTTTTCTTAATAGCTTCAGGCTACGTCTCACTTCATGAAGGATTTGGGATTGGACAGTTTAGACCAGGTGGAGATCATCATGGCCATGGAAGATGAATTTGGTATGTAATTGTCTTTATAATTTTTTACAAGTTTATTTTCAAGTGTAATGTTTCTCCCATTATGGCATTTCTTTGTATTTATGTATTCTTTGAATGTATGCAATTTGTTCTTGTTGATGTATAAGGATTACTAGAAACAGATTATTATACCTGGTTATGAATGTGTATCTATCTACCCAGTTGATAGTTTTGCTTTCATGCACAGGTTTTGAAATTCCTGATGCTGATGCAGAGAAGTTGATGACACCACAAGAGATTGTTCAGTACATCGCAGACAAGAAGGATGTTTATGAATAAGCATAAATAATTGTGAGTTTACTGTTCACATTACTTTAGTCATTTCGGGTGAACCTTATTATGAACACTTGTTTTTTCTTACTCATCCAGATAAAGATAATCCCGTCAGATGACAAAGACCATGGAGCTTTTGTCATGAACTGTTTATGTTTCTGCTGTTCTTCTTTATTCTTTTTGTATTTAGATACATGTTTAAATCGGTGTTCATAATTTTGTTTGTGGCTGCTTGTGATTTGCAGCTCTGCAGCACTGTCTGCTAGATACATGCACAAGCTCCTCATTCATACAATAAGAGTGTGCAAATAATATTAATAATTCATATGAATACTACAAAAATAAAGACTTTGAATAAGTTTAAAATACTTTATTTTTGTCTTCAGGTACATTATGAATCTGTGCCAATATGATCAGTCTGTTCATTCATATAACTGGTCAGGGGTTTGTTTTCTTGACATACTTTGTTTTCTGACATTTAAACCATGTACTAAGACAAAATCACAGGGTGCTTAGAAGAATTATGTTTTAATATGAAGTAGTCTGCCATTCAACAGTTTGGGGTTGGTACGATTTTTATGTATGTAATATGTATTTGTTTATTTATTGTAAACATTAGGCTAGGTTGTATTCAATTGATCAAATACAGTAAATATTGTTTAATATTATCATAATTTAAAATAACTGTTTTCTATTTTAATATAATTTAAAATGCAATTTATTCCTGTGATGGTAAAGCTGAATTTTCAACACCATTCAGAGTCACATGATCCTTCAGAAATCATTCTAATACGCTGATTTGAAAGAACAGCATTTATTTGAAATAGAAATTTTTGTATTCATATAAATGCCTTTACTGTAACTTTTGATAAATTTAATGTCCTTGCTAAATAAAAGTATTAATCGTACTGACCCCAAACTTTTAGTAGTGTATGAAACAAGAAACTACACAAGTTCAAATTTAAAGGGTTAGTTCACCCAAAAATGAAAATTCTGTAATTATTTACTCACCCTCATGTCGTTCCAAACCCGTAAGACCTCTGTGTAATCCGTGCAATCCGTGTGGTGCGGCTGACACAGAACACGCTGTTTGCGTTCAGTGGATATTCTCCAAAATGGCGCTAGGGTGATGCGGAGGAGACGAATTGTTGAATAAAGTCATTTTTTTTCTTTTGCACACAAAAAGTATTCTTGTAGATTCGTAAAATTGACGGTTGAACCCCTGATGTCACATGGATTATTTTACCGATCTCCTTGCTACGTTTCTGACGTTGATTGTGGTAGTACCCTTGCTGTCTATGGGTGGGTCAGAGAGCTGTCAGATTCCATCAAAAATATCTTAATTTGTGTTCCGAGGATGAACGGAGGTCTTACGGGTTTGGAACGACATGAGGGTAAGTAATTAATGACAGAATTTTCATTTCTGGGTGAACTATCCCTTTAATAGTTAGGAGTGGCTGTATTTGGTATGTTATAGCACCACCTACTGGAGATTCTTTCCAAGTCTAAAATATTACTGCAAGACTTTTCCAGAGTTGAAGCCAAGAGAGTTTAAACAGGTTATATTAGGAAACATTTATTGTCCAGTACTTAATCTTTACCCCCTGATGCTAATGCTAATAAAACTAATACAATCTTCCACTAATAACCTTTAACTTACCCTAAACAACATTAAGCTGTTGACATTCATTGCAATGTGGCCTTAAAATAAGTGATACTTTCACGTTCTTGTTCACATTTGCACATGGATTCGTTTAATGCCATTTCTTAAGTCTGTGTATTTCAGGATCGGCTCCTCAGCATAAAAGGACTGTGTCTGTATTTCCTTCAGAATATTTAAAACATATTACACAGTCATATATCAAAATTTAGGATTACAGTATAACTATTTGATTTATGATATATATAATTCATTCTTAATTTAGACTTTATAAATAAGCAATATGTCATTGGCATAACATTGTTTATTCAGACTTTGAGTTTCAATTTAACCTTCAGCTTAGGGTAAAAGACTGGTTTAAGTTAAGTTCAAAAAGTCTTTAATTTTAAAGACACACCTATCTTATGGACTTAAACCCATGTTTCCTTTTCAGGTGTAATAAATCCTTCTCCCTCCCTGTGTTTATGTGTGTGTTAGTATGTCAGTGAACGTACCTCTCACTGTGATGATGAGAAGCTAGGGAGGGACGCTCCAGGCATTTCCTCCTTTTTTTGTGTTTGTGAATGTCAGGATTTCTGTGAATTAGCAAAAGGTTAAGCAAAGTTTTAAATGCAGTGAGATTTGAATTTAAAATGAAATAATGAAATTGACGTTTAAGAAATTGTTTGAGTTTTATTTAATGTCAGAATACCTTTTAGTGTAGTTTTTGTTTTTACTTTGCTTTACAAATGCAGTGTCTAAAAATCTGAGCTTGTCTAATCTACCCTCACACAAAAGTATTGTGGTAGTATTCCTTAAATTCCTGCATTCAATCCCCTAAAACTGCTGTCTAAAAAGCCATCTCCTGATTTTGAGACACAGACACTGTGCCAACGATCTCTGAATGGTCTTCTGCGTTCATCTATTTTCTAGTTTGAACTGAGAGCACAAGTATGGAGTCAATATAATGCCACATATATATGCAAAATAATAAAGTTTTGCAAAAGAAAATAAAGTTTTGCAAAAGAAAAATAAAATCTTGAGCAAAAAAAATACGTTTTACAAACAAAAATAAAGATCGCAAAATAAAAATAAAGTATTGAGAGAAAAAAATTAAGTTTTGCAAACAGAAATAAAGAATTGCAAAAATTAAGTTATAATTCATTGCAAAAATCAGTGACAGTTGTAAAAGAAGCTTATGAACTGTGATTCTATTTGATCTCTGCAACACATATTTTCCATGCTCACACCTACTAATTCATTTGCAATGCTCCATTTATTTTGCGTTTATGTAAATTAAATTAAATTATTAAATTAAATGTTATGTAAATGAAAAACGAAGTCGAGATCGATATGAAGCTTGAGTCGTAGACCTTTTTAATGATGTAAGTTAGTTTATGAAGTTAATTGCATTCTTTAACATTAAAACTAGCAGTAACTCTGAACTCATGTAAACAAAGAACGCTTCTGTGCGCTGGCGTCCTCCCACAGGTTAAGAGATTTTAAACAAACACATTTAGTTAACCAAATGAAACAATACACATTTTAATGCTATAAAAGTGTGCACATTGAGAGAAGTAAACAGCAGATGTTCATGTTAACAACTTCTTTAACTTGAGCAAACACTGCTAATACACATATACATTTGTTAATAAAACGAAAACATGCATGTTTTAATGCTAGAGAATAAAAGGAAACGATCCACCCGCATGCCTCTGCTCAACGATGGTGCCTGGAACAGTGAGCTGTGTCTCGGGCCGATTACGTCACTTCCAGGGAGGCATGCCCAGGCCTGTTGTACACGCCCCCGTCCCTTGACTCCACCCCCATGTCAAAACAGTGCCAGAAAGCGAGACGCGCAGAAACGTGAAGCGCAAAGGGAAAAACGGTATCGCAAGCTCAAACTTGACTGAAACGCAAAATAAAAGTAAATTAGTAAAAAATAAATAAATAAATAAAATAAAAATAAAAAATAAATAAATTAGTAGATATGGCCATGGAAAATATGTATTGCAAAATCATTGCTTTTGTGCTGTTTCATTTATATTTTGCAATTCTTTATTTTTGTTTGCAAAAAACACATTTATTTTTTCTAAATACTTTTATTTTCGTTTGCAAAACTTTATTTTCGTTTGCAAAACTTTATTTTCTTTTGCAAAACTTTATTATTTTGTATATATATGTGGCATTATATTGACTCCATAGAGGAGCGCAAACAAACACTCACTATGTTTTCTTTCACACAAACACACACAAGCTCGATAATTACCCTAATCTTGAAATCACCTCTGTCCCCTTAACGTTTTACCGCTTCCGTCCCATTTTCCCTCTTAAAAAGATGCCTAATCGTAATCATATGTCTGCACGATGCCTTGTTTTCTACACCCCTCGGGCGAACTCGCGCGCTTACTAACGCGCATACGCACGCGCGAGCTTCATAAATTGAGCTGAGGTCGGTTCGACGCGGTTTCTGAGGCGGACCGAGGGATGAACTTGACTCTTCTGTAAAGGTCTTTAAAAAGAAAGAAAACTGATATGAATCCTCGTTACACCTACTTTTTTTGACTAGTTTATATAGCATATTGTCTGCATCATGTTTTAGAATTGTTAAATATTCTTTATGGAATTAACTGTGGGAACGGATTCCTTCCTGGAATGTTTTGGCACACCCCTCGGGCGAACTCGCGCGCTGACTAACGCGCATACGCACGCGCGAGCTTCATAAATTGAGCTGAGGTCGGTTCGACGCGGTTTCTGCGGCGGACCGAGGGATGAACTTGACTCTTCTGTAAAGGTCTTTAAAAAGAAAGAAAACTGATATGAATCCTCGTTACACCTACTTTTTTTGACTAGTTTATATAGCATATTGTCTGCATCATGTTTTAGAATTGTTAAATATTCTTTATGGAATTAACTGTGGGAACGGATTCCTTCCTGGAATGTTTTGGCTTGCAAAATGCGTCGTTTTGTGTATCTTTTCTTATTTATTTTCGCTCCAGGTAAGACGACTATTTCATTAATAGACGAGGTATTTACATGCTAAAAACATTACCTTATGTTTAAACGTGTCCATTAGCCATATTTTAGATGGTTTATAAAAACTATTTAATATAGTTTTTAAATAGTTTATGTTATGATTCATCCATATCATATCCTTTTTAAAAATGTATCATGGTAATCTTAAAATTTACTGTTGTGGGCCTGATCATAACATATAGTTACTGAATGTTTATGCACCACAGAATTTACACACATGTCAAAAGTACTATGGTACTGCTAGGCTACATTTTGTTGTTGTTGTTTTTGGACATGCACATTCATATTAGGCTACTATACTAATATTGGAATAAAAGTAGCAACCATAGTGACATCCCTACAAAAAATACTGTTAAAGTACAAAAGTACTGATACTTTAAAATGTAAAATGGTATTTGGTATATATATATGGTAAATGGTAAATGATATATATATAAAATGGCTAATTTTAAGGTAAAAATATGTAAAGTTTCTTAACTTATTGAAGGTGGTGGTGATGATGATGTTTTCTCTGTAGGTAACACACTGTTGAACTTGAATCAAGACTGTGGAGGTAAAATTATTGGAGAGAGGAGCGGCTCAATTTGGTACTCTTTACACCCAAACAGCCTTTTATTTAACAGAATTACCAGTGACAATGCAGAAAAACTGTTGGATGTTATCTG